CCCTCCCCCAGCCCCCCGTCAAGAACTTTTGCATTCTACTTCATTCTTTTCTCACTTGTTCGCTTTCTTTCCTCAGTCGACAGCACTCTGCAACTGATTTTTGTGCTTGGATTTCTCAAAACCGTTCATACACAGTATATATAAATCAAAGCGGGTTCTCTTCCACACCCCAGGCTTTTGTGGCTGTCACCCACACAGTACTGAAACACGAAACAAGGGGAGCGCTGTCTTTGGCCAGTGGGAGTCTGGTTCATGCAGCAGCTCAAGCCCTGAAACGGGTGGGGTGGTGTGTGCTAATCGAGGTGGTGAGAGAAGGCACCCGGCGTTAAAAAACCGTGGTCTAAGGCTCTCTGGCAGCCCCGCCTCACCAAGGCGCTGTTTGGTAGAGCGAATCAAATAAACACATACGCAGGTAAATATACACTAACTTAAAACGCGACTGTGCCAAAATCTTGATAAACAACGGCAGAAATTAGAGGAAGAAGAGGGACCAAAGAACGCAAACACCACCCACACAGACAATACGATCCAGCGCCTGTAGGGTTCGCGCGGTCATGTGACAGCGTCCTCCCCTCTCCGCCCCCGCCCACGGGGCGGGACGTTTGCATCACTTCCGTCCAGGCCGGAACCCAAGATGGCTGTGCTGTTGCTGAGGTGACTTTAGCCTGGGGCTGGGAGACGGTGCCCGTGACCCCTGGGAGACCGAAGCTGGCCCCTCGTGGTGGTGACAGCGGCTCACGCCGATCTGGGACAGAAAGAGGACCCGTTGGTGTCCAGGCTGCGCCCCTGGGATCCTGGTGTCTCCCTCCCCATGTGTCCCCACCCGCAGCGGCGGGGCTCGGGAGGGCTTGGAGGTCACTCGGTAGCGACCAGGGGCGCGGCTGTCGGTGCGCGTCTGTCGTCCTTTTTACTTCCTATAGGTCTAATGCCATTCCCCAGAGTGTTCTTGTGGCCCCTCTCAGACCCTTGCCGCCGAGACTTGCGCCTAGAGGTCAGCAGGCCCCGGGGCCTACAGTTTGGAGAGCTTAGTTAGGGATCGGGGCGCGATTATTGGTGTACTAAGCCTTTGATGTTATGTATGGGGACAGTCCGGGTTCCTGACGGGTCCCTCCCCTGTCAGTGATTAGCAGTAGTCCCCGGAGAGATCTCTACTGCTTCCTAGAAAATGCATTTTGTTTTGTTTGTTCTAATTTTAGTGTAGAAGGCGATGGACTGTGTATTCCAACCTTTCTTTTAAAGGTCAACTCCCTGTCAAGGGAATTGGGTAAATTTTCTTGCATTTTGAATTAGTCACTGTTAAGGTCTCATTCTCGGAGACTTTAAAGACTAGACACTTCTGGTATAAATCCCAGCACAGTTTTGTGCCAGCCCTATTTTTGGAAACTATTTGTTATGGAAAGTTAGTTTCCATGCTATTGAGATTTCAGTCCCTGATTTTCTTAAATGTCTTATTTCTCTTTCCACTTCAATCATGCAGCACAAAAATAGAGGGGCTTTGTTTAGTTTGTCTCTGTGATGGTATGATTCTTTGGGAGTTCAGTTAAACTTTCACTTTCATTTTGCCCTTCATTTTCATATGTAACTTTTCTTTAAGATATGACAAGAGCATATCTTCCAGAACTGCTTCCTTTATTCCAAATTATTTGACCACAATTCAATGCTTTTGAATTCTTTGACATAACATATCTTAGTAGATGTTAGGGTAGATGTTGGATAAAGAAGCGTTTAGTTTGAAATGGTCATACTGGTTTCAAACATTTCATTTTAGGGATTTCAGGATTCGTGTGTAGAGTCTTCATTCATCCTTGGGTTCTTGCTAGATTTAACCAACTTCAGATTGAAAATATTTGAAAAACAAATTCTAAAAAGTTCTAAAAAGAATTTGAATTTGTTACCTGCCAAGCATTATGCTGAACCCATGTGAAAAAAACAATGTAGGCGTGCCCTGCTGTAGCTTCCCATCATCCACAGATCTTCAGCCTCTTTCCAACCCTCACTAAGAATTGCTTGCCTCACCTCCTGTTCCCGTAGTCTGTTCTTAGGCCTATGATTGGATGTAACTGGACTATACATAAATAGCTTCTTTTCCTTGTCATTTTATTAAGCCATATGATATAACATTTACAGAACATTTAAATTGCATTCGGCATTATAAGTAATACAGAGATTATTGAAAGTGTGTGGGAAAAATGAGAAACACCACACTATTTTGCTTCAAGAACTTAATCATCTGGTTGTGGTGCTCACACCGGTAGTCTCAGGACATTGAGGCAGGAGGGTTGCTGTAAGTTTGAAGCCAGCCTGGGCTGCAGAGTAAGATTGAGTCTCAAAGCAAACAAACAAACAAAAAAAACCCAAAAGAATTTAATCATCCATGGATTTTGGTATCAGCTAGGGGCTTTGAAACCAGTCCCCCTAGACCATACTTGTTAAACATATCCAGACACTATGATTTTGAATTATGTAGTACTGTCCACACCAGGATTCAGTACTAAGCAGTAGACTTCTTGATCATTAATGAAGCTCTCACATAAACAACACTACTCTGGGCATGGTGGTGTAACCTGTAATTACTTGGGGGATAGAGGCAGAAGACAGGGATTAAAACCAACCTCAATTACACAGTGAGTTAAAGGTCCTTCTGGTCTACATGAGATTATCTGAAACAACAAAAACAATAAACGTTAGGGATTTGGAACTCTTTTTAGTATGCTGATTTAACCAGAGAAATACCTTCTAAGGAATTCGATGGGCTGTGATCTAATTCTGTCAGTGTCACTTAATTTCACTTTATAAAAGTTGAGGTTAGATTATGGTTTCCTTATTTGTGAGTTGAAAATAGTAATAACTTGAGCACACTTAAGGGAACTATTGGTTAAATTTTGGGAAGGTGCGTTTATCCTTAACAAAAAGTATATATATTTATGGTATACAGTATGATGTTTGGGGAATATGTATACCTTGTATATGCTAAATATAGCTAATCAACATGCATGTTGTACACATACTTTCTTTTGCTTTAAGAAATCTGAAATCTAGTCTCAACAATTTTCAAGTATATAATAGAGTAATATTAACTATAAATCCTGATTTTGAAACTGTGCAATATATACGTGTCAAAACAGTGCATAGTACTCCATTAATGTGTACAATTTTATGTTTTTCTGTATCCATTAAAAAATAAATGCCGGGCATGGTGGTGCATGCCTTTAATCCCAGCACTCAGGAGGCAGAGGCAGGCAGATCTCTGTGAGTTCAAG